CAGATGGGTGGTAGCTTATCAGCCCAGTTTTGGGGTGGGTTTTCTTAGCCCAATTTGTTTTAACATGTTGATGCAAATGATGGTAATATATTGGGGGGGGGAAGTGTTTCGAAGTACGATTGTCAATTAAAAGTGTGTGGCAAAGTGTTAAATAGGAACAGTTTGCCAAAGATCAGTAGAAGAAACAACATAAAAGTAAAATGATAAGTGGACTTACTAAGTTTGGAAGTCCTCAGAAGAAACAGTTCAAAGAGGGGGAAGTGACGGAAAGAACCTGCAGGCATTTTTAATTGGCATCCTCATATTCAAGCTGCTGTTTTGTCTGAAACAAGAATAGCTTATCATCAAAGTAGAACAGTCAGAAAACAATGAATAAAAAATTAAAACTAAGGCTACCCAAGTGAAAGAATTCAATGAAAACATTGAGTCGAGGGAAAACTGAGAGTGGTTTATAACATCTGAGTTAATCAGCTGTCCTATCAGGGTGCCCTAGCTTTGCTGGTTAAAGCACCTGTCTAGTAAATAGGAGATCCTCGGTTCGAGTACTAATGGTGCCTAGGCCCATCAGAAAGCATTGTATTTTAAGGGAGCTCTGGTGGCCTAGTGGTAAGAAGCTGTAATGCGATTCCAAAGGCCTGCAAAACCATTAGCTGTTCTGATGGACTGCTGCCTCTGAAAATCCACTGGAGGGTCAGCTGGATGGCACACAGTGGCAGTAGTAACACATCATTAAGGTATCAGTAGCTTTCCTTAATGTTAATAAATCAACTAGTTTGGAGTTGTGTTGTTGGAACTGACCCATAGCTGACCCTCTGGTGGAGACTGCCCATCCTTCTCCCCCAGAGCAGCTGGTGGCCTTGGAACGCCTGCCTTCAGGATTGCAGCGGAGCTTCTTGCCACTAGGCCACCAGAGCTCCCTAGTTTGGAGTTATATAGATAATATTTAAAAAAGCCATTTTCTCTTAGAAATTGGATGAGGGGTGTAAGTGGGGCTAGCTTTTACTTTTCATTTGAGACTAAAATTGTATTTGCATTTGGTTTTGGCATCATTCATTGTCATTTGGTTGCTGACGAGTCAGTGCTGACTAGTCAGGTTTTCAGAGGCTGTCAATCAGGAGTTAGGCTACCAACCCAAAGTCAAGTGGTTCAGATCCACTACTGGCTTCTTGGGGGGAAAAGTAGACAGTTTCCTTCCATGTGATTTGAAATCCAGAGGAGAATCAGTTATGAGTTGGTTTTGACCTGATGACAATGAATTTGTATTTTGAGAGATTTTATTTTAAGATACTCTGGTAAAAATCTTCTTTCTCATGTTATAAGTTGATAGCTTTTGTTTCATTTTTACTCAGGATAATACCATAAACCTGTATAATCTTTCTGATAGGGGAGCGAAATGATTTGGCTCCCTTTTGTCTTCAGTTTAGTACATTCTGTGTTGTTTTTTGTAATCTAGTGCTAATGAAAAAGAAAGACCACAAATAGATGGCTTTAACAAATGCATTTGTTTTCCTATGATTTGGGAAGTTAGAGGTTTAAATTTGGACTGTTGACTCTAGGAGTCCCTCTGTCACTCCTGTAGGAAGATCCTTGATTCCTTCCTCATCTGTCAGCCTGGCATTCCCTGGTGATAAGTCTGAGTCTTGTCCTCCTGTGTTGGGCAGTTTTGTCAGTACAGCGACGTGGGTCCAAAAAATAGCCTGCACTCACCGCTCTTCTGTCATGGTGATACTGGCATCCTCTGACCCTTTGCTCATTTACTGTCTCCTTTATCCCTGCTGAGACAAAAGATGTTTTAGGTCACAACCTAGGGGAGCCCCTCTTTCATCAGATCAGTGCTGTAATCTAATTAAGGATATTACACCTCACTCCAATCACCTTACCACTGATTACCTGAATTTCATATCACATCATAGGGTATAAATACATTTACTGCTTCTAAGGATAGAAGGAGAATTGACGCCTTTGAGCTGTGGTGCTGGAGAAGAGTATTGAATGTACCATGGACTGCCAAGAAAACAAACAGATTCATCCTAGAGAGGGTTAAACCAGGCTGCTCCTTGGAGGCAAGGATTCTGGGGCTTCGCCTGACATACTTTGGACATGTTGTAAGGAGAGACAGGTCTTTAGAGAGGGACATCATGCTGGGTAGAGTGGAGGGACAGCGCAGGAGGAGAAGACCCTCTATGAGGTGGATTGATTCAGTGACTGGGGTAATTGGGATGGGTGTGTCAGAGGCAATGAGATTGGCACAGGATAGAGCACGGTTTAGGGCTGTTGTACATAGGGTCACTATGAGTCGCAAACGACTCGACAGCACATAACAACAACAACGATACTGACTAACGTAAGAGAGTTGAATATAAGAATTCAAAGGATAGCGCAGTAAAATATGCAAAGAGCTGGAGTTAGAAAACCAAAAGGGAAGAACATCTCTCCATTTCTCAAGCTGAAAGATCTTAAGAACAAATTCAAGTCCTGAGTTGCAACACTGAAGGATTCTGTGGGGAAAATAATGAAGCTCTGGTGGCTTAGTGGCAAGAAGCTGCGCTGCATTCCCTAATGTGCATTGTTCGAATCCACCAGATGCTGTACTGGAGAAGGAGGGGCAATCTGCTGTGCTAGTCGGATCTAACTCAGTAGTGCACAAGAAAGAAAAAAAAGAACAAACAAAAGTGATTCAGCAGTGTGAAAATTATTGAACAATATCACTAATACCACATGCAAGTAAAATCTTGTAGAAGATTATTCATAAAGAGCTGAAATACTAAGTATAACATTTGTATACATTTTTTATTAGTTGTTTAATACGGGATTACCCCGCTAAGAAATAAAATTTTTATAAAGGAAAAAAAAAGAGCTGAAATAGTACACCAACAGAGAACTTCCAGAATTTCAAGCCGGATTCCAAAGAGGCTGTGGCTCTGAGGTCAAGTGATATTGGCTGAAAGCAGAGAATATCAGAAAGATACTTACTTAGGTTTTCTTTCTTGTGTAAAAACGTTTGGCTATGTCAATTACAACATATTATGCCTAACACGAAGAATAATAGAAATCCCAGAACACTCAGTTGTGTTCGTGAAAAATCTCTACATAACCACTAAAGCTGAGTAATAATTTTGACACTGAGACTGATGTGGAAAGACATGATTGGAGTGTTTACTCATGGTCCTCTAGCCTCATCAGGGCTCTTCTTAATTGAAGAAAAACGCTTCTCTGTTCTAATCAACCAAGCACTAGCTCCCAAAACTCTCCCTAAGAATCTGTGAAGAAATCTGTGTCACTATCAAGATAATCAGTTTTATTGGCAAAATAAATGCAATTTTTTTAAAGGAATGAGGTGGTTTATATGTGTGTACATATAAATACATACATATATATATATATGTTTTTCTGTGTATATGTCTTCACCCTGAACCACTTTGTAGTAAATTGCATCTAGTATACGTCAGTGTATATTTCTAAAAATAAGGTCGTTTTCTTCCAAAGCTATTGTTTGTAACTTGTAAGCAGTCTTGACATTTAAGATCATTTTAAGAGAAAACCCCCTTCCTCTCATGGTTCCCTCTAAGATTAGTATCATACAGTGCTGACTTTGGAACCTTTACTGCTTTTAAACCTGTCTTCTCATCTGGAACACAGGAAGTATCTTTCCTGAATTTTTCATAAGATTGTGGTTATAAAAGTTAGTAAGATCTAGACTGTCAAGTTCTTTGTAGAGTGGAAATTACTGTATAATGAAAAGCCACATCACTTAAGTTAAATATCCCTGTAAGAACTTAATGTCTTTTTACCGCTGGTTCACTAGTGTCTTCTCTTCTGAACTGCTAAGAAGTGGAAGAACTCATCTTTTCCTTTACTTGAGGTTATTATGTGTGTCTTGTTCCAATCCATTACCTTCCAAAATGGCAGAACCCCTTGTGTTTTCACATCCTCCGGCTAGACTGAAATAGACTTTTATCATAAACTTTCCTGATAGGTAAGGAAGCAGTCTTTACCCTAGGGCCCCGTGGCTGGGCTGTGTTCATCATGACCAGGTTGGAGATCCATGAAGTTGTTCGAGAGAGGTATACGGACTTTTCTGTCAGCCCTGACTGAAAATACCTGCCAGTTTGTCATGTTCCTCTCCCCTCTATAAACAAGGCCGTCCAATATTGCTTTCTTCACCACTCCCTCCAGTAATTCGCTCGATAGGAAACATCAGCTGTTTTGACGGTTTCCTCTTCTTCCACTTTCTGTCACTTGTCAAAATGTATAACTTCTCCTTTTGCTAGGTCTTTCAAATAACTTTCCCCTTTGTGTTTTCATTGATTGACTCTAGCTTACGTCTTCATTTTCTCTTGTCTAAGTAAGACGTGACTAAAGGCTCTTCCCACACAGTGATTTTTAAACTCCAGATTGGTGTACCCTTGGCTTTTCATTCCATTCTTTACAGTAGTGGTTAAGAACATAGACAGCTACATTCAAACTATGTCTCTATCAGTTACTAACTGATATTCCCATAGAGACTTACATGAGCCTTACTGTGCCTAAGATTCCTGAAGTATAATAAAATTTCATGATGGTAAGCCCCTCGAAGGCAGGTTCGGTTTCTGCCGTACTTGAGTTCCTAGTGCTCACTCTGGATCAGTAAGAGTTAATAGTAGATTATGCACATGTTTCTTCCTATGTAGTTTAAAGGCAAATTGAAATTTGCTGATTCTTAATAACTGTGAAGCCATTAAATTTGCTAGAGAAGGGATTATTTTTGTGGACATTTATGTTACTGTGTTTCTAGTTCTATTAATTGTAGCCATAATAGTCATGAGAAAAGATAAAGTGAATTTTGAACCATTTTATATGGATCTTCTGTATTTCTGGAAAGTTGCTCTTGTAAGTTTTTCTTTTAAAGTTTACCCTAGTCCCAGGATTCCAGTGTATGTGATTTTTCTGACTTTGATCATATGAGAAGTCTTAGTTTTCAAAACTGCCCAAGAGATTTAATTCTGAATTTCTCCTTGTAGCAAGGACCAAGGACCGACCCCAGTGGAGAAAAAGAAGAAAGGAAAAAGGAAAAGTGAAACGACGGTGGAAAGTTTAGAGCTGGACCAGGGCCTGCAGAACTCATCGCTGCGGAGTCCAGAGGAGTCCACCGAGTCTACGGACAGTCAGGTACAGCTGCCCGGGAGCCTGGTGGCGCTAAGACTGCTGCATGGGATCTGGCTGTGACTGATCGTGCAGCTGCTCTGGGCCTGTCTCCGGCACGCTGTTCTGCACAGACTTGAGCTGGACTTAGCCTGTTTTGTTTGGTGATCAAGTAGACCAGAAGCCTTTCCCCATCATGCTGATCCTACATTAATACCTGCCGATTTTTTAGGGTAGTTGCTTCCTTTGTAGACTGCAGAAGGAGCTGCTGTAAGGAATGAAGTTGTGAGCCAGTCAGATAAGACTCAGAGTGTCTCTTTTCCCATAATAGGTAATAGGTCTAGGGCGCACAGTGCTGTGCCAGTCCGCACTGTCTTTGTCCTTATTGAATAATTCTCAAGGTTGGATGAATCAGGAATGCACATTCATTCAGTGCATAACTTCTCTTTGGCAAAGGCCAATTCCACGTATATCTGCGATCCTACCCTCCTCTCTTCACCATAAAGCCTTCATATTAAAAATCTGAGGAATAGTCAGTGGTTCACATAATAATGGACACTTTTTTGTAATTCGCATCCAAAATTGTCATTGTTACTATAAAGAAAGCTTAGTGGGCCTGTAATTGTTTCTTTAATATTTTTTTATACACTGAAGTGTACATTATATATTAAGACAAATGTTGAACCATACGTAACTGGTCCAATTTATGTATAAATTCTTATTAAAGACAAACTTAGAACCGGAACTCCTTCATAACTTCTTGCATTTTAGCATGAACTCATCCCTGTTCATATAGCATCAAGATTGCATAATTTCACAGAACATATTATAGACATTACACAATGCACAACCAAAGTAGGGAGTTTGACTATGCCAGAATAGGGAGTTTTGGCAAAACATTGAAAACAAAAAGTACCTACTTAAATCTGATTCCTATAAATATGCTAAAGTGTTCCTGTCATATTGGTAGGAATTTTCTGTCTGGTTAAAGATGGCTTCTCCTGGACATGAATTCCTGTATTTGAAAGGGCTCATGTTTCCTCTGAGATCCTTAGCAACTTATCTGAGCATCGCTGTTTCAAGAAGACCTTTAAAATGAGACTGACTTTTTATAAAAATCATCTATACCCTCATAGTTTTCCAGATCATGTTCACTGTAGAGCATTCCTAATGGCCTAAGTGGTAATTAATTGTTGTGTCTGGGATGTCAAGGCAGAGACCCTGTCACTGACTTTAAATAAGCTGGAGCCCATAACTGTTAGGTATCAAGTTTGACAGGTGAGCAAGCACCTCGGGTTGATGGGAGCTAGCAGGGCAGGAAGTGCTTGTACATTGGGGACCTGTGTGGTCTGTCAGGGTTGGAGGGCGTTGGCAGACAGGTTTTTATGAACAGTTCACACTCACAGTTAAGTGTCATAGAGGTGACAGCAAAGAAATGAAGAAGAGAGAGAAAAGAAGCCTAGGAAATTACTTTAGAAGAAAGAAGAATGGGTCTTTGCTTTTGTATATGTTTTGCTTTTTGATTTTCAGGGTTTAAGTACTTGAGAGTGAACTCACTGGTGAATGATTCTCTCCAGTGTCTGTTACTTGAATATGATGAGCACATAGAGATGAACACCATGGCTTTCTGTTTGAGGAAAGCTGCTGGGTTGCTTTGTTGTTGCATGTGCTCTCCCTGAAAGGTCACAGGCTGCTTAATTATTGATGAATCCTTCGATAGTAACTCACGAACTGTGTTTGTCACACCTAGGCTGTCTCCCTATATCTCAAAGGGCATTTTGAGAGTCACAGAGTAAGTCCTGATAAAATTATTGTTGCTTTTAAAATACGTTTTTTAGGAGTGCATTGTAGGTGAATGCAGTCAAAGCCAAAATAAAATAAAAAGCTGCCACATTGTGTCTTGCAGTGGCATGTTGCTGTCAGAAGTGGAGCTTCTGTCAAAGATACTGGCTCTCCCCCCACCTTGATTTTACCAGATAGAAAGGATAAAAGCCCCAGCCGTTGATGACTCAAGCACTCCCACTGGAGCCTGGGATGGCACCTTCTCAGTGGGTCCTGGCAGTCTGCAGAGTGGGCTTTTGTTCCCTCCCTCAGCTTGATCTCATTTCAAGTCAGTTTAGTTCCGATAAGAATGATGTTTAAGGAAGATTCTTTTGTAGATGAAGACACTTCTCCTTTACGTGTGAGCGAGTATAGATGAGAATATTCTCGAGCCCGTTTTGCCCGTGACTCTGAGAGCTCCTCTGGTGGGATGTGTTTGCCCTGCAGAAACGACGGTCAGGACGACAGGTGAAGCGCAGAAAATACAACGAGGATCTGGACTTCAAAGTTGTAGATGATGACGGGGAAACAATTGCGGTCCTTGGAGCTGGCCGGACATCCGCCCTCTCGGCTTCTACCCTGGCTTGGCAGGCAGAGGTATGTATGCCTGTACTTGAGGGTACTGACCATGTTTTGGCAGGCATTTTGGCCTATTGGACAGAGTTATTGAGTGGCTCTATGTTAAACCACAGATTAGATCATTTTAACTATTGCTTAAAACCTTTCATTACTTCCTCTTGAAGTTACAGTAAAACTCAGACTGGGCCCATCCACCACAATTAGTCTTCCCTATTTCATCAAATTTAATACTTGAATCACTTTCTAGCCACACTGGTTGTCTCTCACGCTGACTGTCTCTAATGTGTTGGACCAAGAGTTCTTTCCTCCTTGGAGGTCTTTGCTGGGCTGTTCCTTCTGCCTGAATACTGTTTACTGCACGTTTTGCCTGACTGGTTCACCGCTGTTTCAGTTTCATTTTGGTATCCCCTCAGATCTTTCCTGATCCTGTAATCTGAAGTTGATTCCCGCCCTTCATATCAGTGGTATGAGCAGGCCTGGCAGTGTGTGCTGGAATCCAGAGGCTGCATAGAAGGTGTAGTCAGGGAAGGGGAGGCCAGGGCCATCAGAGGACAGGGTTGAGAAGGGATCTTTCTGACATGAACTTAAAGGTCCCGGAGTCTGCATGGTACTGTAAGTTGTGGCGTGACAGGTCTCTGAGCGTGGCTGCATTAGGGGATATGATTTGATCTTATTCCTCTGGCGGTGAGATATACGGGCTAAGTGGTAGGAAGAATCAGATTGCAGCACCTCGGGTACCAGCTGAGACATTTGGCCTTTAGCCTTGAGATTGAATGAGGGATAGATGGGCTCAAGCAGAGAAATAAGATAGCTGTATTTGCCCTGTAGGAGTTTCCTTGGCAGCGGTGTCACAGAGGAAGAGGAGTAGCTTTAGGACCTGATACACATTACTAGAGAGGAAGAGAGTGAGTGTTGGAAAGGAGGAGGTCTGTGCCAAGGAGCTTATGGGGAAGAAATCGCGAGCAGAAGCAGCAGCAGGCTGTGTGGGGGAGGCCCATTGTTGCCAGCAGCACATTCTGGGATGCAGCCTGTCTGTCTCCACAGTCCCCATCGCTGACTTGGCAGAATTTGTGCTCGGTGTGAGCTGCAGCAGTACAAATACCTGTCCTTCCTCCTACCAGTCAACACGTGTCCTCCCGTAGCCAGTAATGCTGTATCTTCTAAACCACCTTTAACCAACTTAATCATCATACATGTCCTTTCAGTCTTTGCTTACATGGAAATTAAGCAGGAGGAGGGGTGTTGTTCCTATTTTAACAGGCAGGAAAGTAAGGCACAGAACAGAGCAGGGTGGTATGATCTTAGATCACAGAGTTTTGGAGCAGCGGTAATGAGTGAGCAGCACATAAGCATTGATTTCACGTCTCTGTGCTCAGGGCTCCCTAGCTAATGAGTACAAGCCCTAATACGAATGATATAGGGATGTATGGTCAGTGCAGTACTTTTCCAGTAAATAGTTAACAGGTAGCCATTGCAAGTCTGCCATAGGTTCACGTTGCTTTGAAATGGGTTTTCTTTTTTTCCCTGGGGGATTTTATGGTTGGTTTTGTAGTTAAAACATTGTAAGGAATTTTATTTTCTCCTGTTAGTCATTTAGTCTAAACTATTCCCTGTATTTCACTTGCTAGGACTTCTCCCCTGGCTTCTGCCAGGCAGCTTTACCTTATCTGACAAAAAAATAATACAAGAAGGTTTATCTATCTTAACAAGGATTACCGACTCCTCCAAGGGTACATTAAAGAGAGGGTTTATTTATAGCTTCATAGAAGATGTGATCTGGATTTGCATTAATTAGGCCTGAAAAAATTTTATTAACTTTAAGACGACGACTTGACACAGTTGGTGTTGATGTTCGTGGAGACAGCAGTGGATCTGGTTTCTATGCCAAAAGCCTGGCCCGGCCTGCAGGGTGGTCAGGTAGTCTGAGAAGGGACTGCAGAGGGCTACTTATTCAACAGTTTTCACATTGGTGCTCTAGGGGTTCCTAGAGGTAGTAGAGCCAGAATAACTTCTGTGTGTTTCACATAGTGTGTTTTCTGATGGGGTTTAAACAGTGATTTTCCAGCTGATGCAATGTTTAAAGGCTGTGGAGCTCATCACGCATTCAAGGCAATTCAGTTGTACAGCACATCAGTTGAGGAGGACACTTTTTCTTCTTTCTTTCCCCTAAGGCCCTCCTTGGGCTGGACTGGGTCTGCCTTCCTGGTTGTGATAGTTTGGCGCAGCGAGGCATGTGGACTGCTTTTCAGAAAGGCCTCTCTGCCACCCTTCACATCTGTGGTACCTTTTTAATATTTGCTGCCCAGATCTGTGACTGCTGACTGCTGTCCCAGGCCCAGATTGCACCCTCAGCATTGATATTACCTAGTGATGAGTTGCTCAAGACTCATCTGTTCACATGATTTATTCTAAATGAAGACTGGCATGTTAGCACAACCCGGCTTTTAGAATCCAGAGGACAGCCTCAGCCCCTGACGTAGGGGTGAGATTGAGGGTCTGAAAATTAAGTATCAATCCTGATTGAGACATTCCTTCCATGTTCTTCTTGAACTGATGTTGGTGCCTGGAACACAGACAGACTTTGACAGTTTGGCATAGAGACTTTTCAGAAGAGGCTGTTTCACTTTGTGTCTTACTTTCTTTGGATAGCTTGCATGATTTTGCTTTTCAGGGGAGAAAAAAAAACTGATATTGAATGAGGCTACAACTCCTGTGCCTTGCTCTGTGTCTACATACAGTTCCTCTTTTTTGGCCTTTTCCTATGCTCAGTGGGCAGAAGTCAGTTGTTACTTCCTCCCGGGAGCTCCCTGCTCTCACCAAGTGGGATTAGCGCCCCACTTGTGTGCTGCCTTGACAAGCAGATATATTAGCGTCACCCGTCACTGTTGTTTAAACCTGGCTGCTTTTTTGTTTCTTTATCCTAATCCATAGCTGTTTCCAGGTAGATGTGTTTCTCTTTTGTGTGTGTGTATCTCTCAAAGCTTAACTGAATTTCTATATTGTAAAATTTATATTGGCTCTCAGGGACCATTTAGATGAAACCTTAGTATCCTTTGGATGTTTGTTACTCTCAGTCAAGAGTTAGCTACAGCCCTTGCACAGTTCTGCCAGGTTCACAGCCTGCAGCTACTCTGATTCCTCAGGGCCTCTGCTCTCAGTCTCACTCCTGAGTGCTCTCTTACTTTGAAGTTCTAACTCTTGGAGACTTACAGGACAAAGTTCATGGAATTTCCAAGGCTGTAAATCTCTATGGAAGCTCACTGCCACATTTTTCTTATCCAGGGTTTAAGCCACTGACTTTTTAGTGAGTGATTAAAATTTATAATACATATTTTGGAGGAATACCATTCAGTTCATAACACTGCATTTATCATGTACTAACTACTAACTTAATGAATAAGCCTGTGTAGAATCAACTGTATGAAATACATATGAATTAACTCTTGGTTTAGAAAGGCAAGAAAAAATTTTCCCCCTTCTCCTCTGCCCTTCTTTTCTTTTTACGAGGTACGTCTGGCACTCATCTGTATTCTTAGTTCAGTTAGGCATTTGCACCTGCAGACAGATGCTCTTTGCTAAAGCTACTTTAGAAAGTGTTGGCATTTCTCTGGCCTGTACCAGCTGTTAACGTGGTACAGAGACATTCATTCTGGCCTTTCATCACTGGGCTCTTTACCACTCAGCTTGACTAAGTAAGGTTTTGACTGTTCTGTTTCTTCATTGGCTTCAACTAAGAGCCTGTAATGTGTTTTTCTTTACATTGTCTCCTATGCTTGTTTCCTCTGGGTTTCTGCTGCCACTGTTTGTACCTATTCACATTATTGCTGTGGACACTTGTCTATTCCTTGATCCAGGTCTCTATCAATCCTAATCTATTACCAGATTAAATTTCCCCGGACTATTGCTGTCATCTTCTCAGTGTCTTGTTCAAGAAATGAATGGTGGCTACTTCTTAATTTCTTTGTTAGATCAAAACTCCTGCAAAATTTTTTTTTAAATGAGGCCATAACCTACCTACTCACCCTTGTTTATTTCTGCTACTCTCTATATAAGGGCGCTCTGATGGCATAGTGGCAAGAAGCTGTGCTGCAATTCCTAAGGCACGTAGTTCAAGGCCACCAGCTGCTCTGTATGTTTCTGTTCTAATAAAATAAGCTTCTCAGTATACATATATGCATCATACTTATTATATTTAAATTCATTATTTTGGGGGGCATATTTTTCCTTATCTTTCTCTTCACCGTCCATTTTTAAGAACCTTTGTTTTCTAGGATCATCACATACTCTCTGAAATCCAAGCTGTTCCTATTTTTTTCTGAAACTTCATTGGGTTTATAGATGTTATTACATCAAGTAACATTTACATCAAGATATTTCTAAAACAGTTATTTTGTCCTCCTTGATGAGTGTCAGCCCCTGGTGACTGGACATCATGTTTGGTACTCTTTTTTGGTACCTCTTAAAGCATATTGCATATACTTGGTGATTTAGAAACCGACTTTCTTCTTGTTGGACTCTTCCTTGTTGGCTGGCTACATAGAAGTAAATGACGTGATTGCTTTAGGTTGGGCTAAATAAGATTGGAAACTTTCGAGATTTCCCCTAAGAAAAATTTATTTTAATTAAAAAAATCCTCTGACTTATAGTTGAATGAGCTAAAATGGTCTTCTCTGAAGGATAATTTGAGAAAATTCCAAGCAGTTATGAACAGATGGCAGTTGTAGAAGTGTATTTGGCAAGCAGATTTGGTTTGTATCTGTGTGTATGTGTACACACTGCATGTTTATACACACATGATCATGCTTATGCACGTCTCTGTTTAGGGAAAAAAAAGGCATAATCTTCCAGAGATCACTTCCTGCTTGGATATGTATTTTGAAAATGTTACTTGCTTTTCCTTCTTATGATCACCATTGGAGTGGAGGGGTGTGTGTGCATATTTTAATAAAAACAACACAATATATAGATAGTTTAGCCAGGTCCCAGGAAGAAACTGACATTTCATTTTAAACTCTTCGGTATTTATTTCAATTTTTCTATGGTGAAGCATGTTTTGAATCTTCCATCATTTAATACTTAAAATCCTGTGCTTTCTTCATCCAGGATTTGATCTAACGTTTCTTTATCTTTAGATAAAATACTTTGAATTGCAGTGACTTTACTACTAGTATCACACTTACTTTTATCTTTTATTCATGTTAGAGAAGACTATTTGAAGCAATTTAGTGAAGGAATGAGCATTGCTCCTTTCTTGCTAAATTGTTTGCTCATTAGGAATATAAATTTTAGCCTTGGGGGCAGGTTCGGAAGGTAATGACCATTTATAAAAGCTCAATGTTAAGGAGCTTGAGAGACTATGCAAAAAGTGAGAAGATATAAAAGTGAGGAATTGGGTAGGAGATTAAAATTTAATCTTTGGACATTTTAAGTTTCAGAAAGCTATTGAATAGTGAAAGGAATGCTGATATTAAAGAACAGATATATTTTGGAAAAAGCGTAGCCAGAGTACCCCTTGGAGGCAAAAATGGTGAAGCTCTGTTTTTCTTACTTTAGACATTTAGCTATTTCTTGGAAAGGGACATCATGCTAGGATAGATGGAGGGTCAGCAAAGGAGAAGACGACCGCCAACAAAATGGGTTGACATGATGACTTCAGCAGTGGGCTGTAGGATGTGCGAGATGATGAGGATGGCTCAGGTTAGGGCAAGGTTCAGGGCGGCTGTTCACTGGGTCGTTGTGAGTTCTTGACTCCACAGCACCTAACAACAACAACAATCAAAAGGTGAAGGTGCTCTGGTGGCCTAGTGAGTTAAAGTTTGCCCTGCCAATCCAAAGGCAAGTGGTTCTAATCTACCAGCTCCACAGGAAAAACTTGGGCAGTCTCCTCCTGTGCAGTTTACAGCGTCTGAAAACCCGCTGGAGGATCAGCTGTGATTCACTTCTGACTCAATGGCACATACCAATCAAAAGAGGAGGCTGTCTCTCCACCTTAAGAGTGGGAAAGCTGATGGACGATCACTGCCAGTCAGAATCCGCTCAACAGCACTGGGCTTTTTAGTTTAATACTGAAGTGGAGGTATCAAGTAACAATTTTAAACAGGACCCTAGAGAATTTCTGAACTAAATGTATAAATTTGGGATCCATGTATTAGATTCAGAAAAGAACTTAAAAATATCTAGGACTAATATGGTGAGTTGTTCATATGGTCACTATGGGTCATACTCAACTTGGTGGCATAGTCAACAGCAACCATGGCAGTGTTTCCTTGCTCTGTTCTGATGACTGCCTTTTGGTTCAAGTATATAAGTTTCGCATTAGCATGATCAAGTGTTCTGGGATATAGACACATGTAAATATATCCATGCTTACAACTTTATATGTATATAAAAGTCAAGAAATCAAAAGTGTTGCACAGGGGAAATCTGCTATCATGGTCGTCTCCAAAGTGCAAAAGAATAACAGTGTCTGTTTAAAGACAGAGGTGTGCCTGATCCAAGTCATGGTCTTTTCAGTTCTTTCCTGTGCATCTGAAAGTTGGACAGTGATTAAGGATGCCAGAAGAGGCATGCGTGCCTTTGAGTTGTGGCATTAGAGAAGAGCACTGAAGAGTCCAGGGACTGTCAGAATGAAAAGCAGGGATGGTGAAGCTTTGGGCATGCCAGGAAGAGGCAGTCCTTGGAAGAAAGCATCGTGCTGGGAAAAGTGGAGCTTCAGGTCTTTTTTTCCCTCTGCACTTTTCAGTGCTTTGTTTACCTTTGGCGAGCAGGGTATCAGGCCCCTCATTCTTAGGAGTGGGCTTGTTGCTCATAAGACAGCTTTACCTGTAGTGTTTTTTTACCAACTATCTGACTCTTTTTCCACAATAACTATACTAAAATATTCCCACCAGCAGTGGATATAGATTCCAATTTTTCTACATCCCCTTTAATACTTGCTATTTTCTATTTTGTTTTCTTCTCATTTTGGCCATCATAGTGGAAGAAAAATCCTAAGCAATTTTTAAAGAATTACATGAATATGCCTGACAGCATTCTCGATGATGAAGACCATATCTCAGTTGTTTTTGTAAGACCAGAGCAGAAACATAGATGGTACTCAGTAAATAATAGGGAAAAAAATTTAGGAAAGAGATGAAATATAAAGAAGGGTAGGAAGGATGTTGGCTTATAAATCTATATATCTAATTAGTCCTAACCAAACACTTGTTCCTTTACTTCCACCTTCCTATATTCCAAGCTCTTCGATGGCAGGCAAGGTTGGAGGGTGTGGTCCTTGCGACACTTGAATGAAAACCTAATTCTGGCTCTTTGTCATTAACCGTTCTGACAGTGGAGATGGAGAAGGGAGAATTGTATTACGTGACAGATCAGATATAGTGATTATTCCCAGTCTTTTGGCCTTGGAGAGTTCAGATCTTTCCTCACTGTAGTCTTTTCATTTAACGTTCACCAGATTGATTACTGAGCTGGTCTGCCTGATCTTTCCAATGCACTTAGCTATAAAAATGTACAAAACAAGAAAGATTTTCCATTTGTGAGTGAAGACAGGTAGTAAACAATTAACTACATCCCTCTCTTCCTTGCCTATGCTTGAGCTTAAGCAGAGCAGATACTTAACTAGAAAACCAACAGTTGCCTGTGTCTCCCTCCCCTTTCTTCTGTTATATGTAAGCATGGTTCACTGCTGCTTTCTTGAGCAAGGGGAAGGGACTCTTGTCATTTTGGATTAACTTCCTCATGGCACCTAGCGCAATGCCATGTGTCTGGGGGAGCATATTAGTTATTTGTAACCTTTTGGGAGCATCTGCCTGTGCTTGTTGATTTCCATAATTCTTTCTTGCCATCTGCCCTCATTTTTTAAACTACTGACCCTTTTAGGAGAGGAGATGTAAAAATCTAAAGAAATGTAGTGTTTCCTGTAATGGTGTGGCTTTGGGAGAGCAGAACCCTCAGAATGAGTAGTCTGAAGATAGTGATCTGCAACTCAAATGATCATCCTGGGAAGCATCGAGGAGAAACCTCTGGTAGTGGCTTTGGCAGTTTGGATGGTTAAGATTAATGTCCTTTTCGTACCACTGTTTTAAGTCTCATACTGTAACAAACGCTAGATCTAGAAAGGTCTTGGTACATATATCTGTTGCTTCTGAGTTGATTTTTACTGATAGCGACCCTTTAAGATAGAGTAAGTAGAATTTGGCTTTGTGGGTTTCCCAAGGTTAAAAATCTTTGCAGGTGCAGATTGTCTTTGTCCCCCATCGTAGCTACAGAACTCGGCTGCTGACATTTCTGTTAGAAGCCAGGCACCCAACTACAGCGTCACCAGGGCTCCTTTTTGAACAACAACAACAACAAACACTATCATTGGGTCACTTCTGACTCATGATCTCTAAAGCTGAAAATCTTTACAGGCGGATTCTGCCCCTTTTTTCTCTTGTGGTAGTTTTTATCCACAAGCCTTTCAGTTAGCAGCCTAACATGTAATGCATTAGGCCATCAGGGCTCCCCTCCAGATTTCTTACAGTACTGTTGTTGTTGTTGTTGTTGTTAGGTGCCATCGAATCTGACTCGTCGTGATCTCATGAACAACTGATCCGATCACTGTCCTATTTCATTCCATCCTCACAGTCCCTGAGACACTCAAACCCTTGCCACAGTCATCACATCAACCTACCTGGTTGAGGGTCTACCTCCTTTTGCCACCCCTTTACCTTTCCAAGCATGAGGTCCCTCCCCAAGGAACAGCCTCTTCTAGCAACATGCCTGAAGCCTGTGAGGTAGAGCTTCCTCGTCTTTGCCTTCCGTGTGCACTCAAACTGCATGCTCTCCAACTGTCATCCTTAGTCATAGTGCAGCTCTTAGATGCATAGCAAGTGACTGAAAAGACCAGGGCCTGGATCAGGCGCACCTTTATCCTCAAACTGACATCATTACTCCTAAGTAATTTGGAGAGGTCCCTGACTGGAGACTTTCCCAGTACATACAGAAGTGCTGAAATTGAACTGCTTTATTCAAGTCCTAGAGAGAATGGTTAAACACATGCACATTCTGATTCAATCTTTTTTAAGTTTATCATTTTTAAGGATTTTATTATAATAAACATTCTGTAGAGAGAATTTTTGTAGGAATTCGTAATCTAGTAATTTTGATACGTACCCAGAATAGGAAGAAAAGAATGAATTTATTTTAGTTAGGATTTGCATTCATTAGTTGGGATAGCATGATTATCTGCTAAAACAGAAAGTCATTTCAAGATGCATTGGGTAAAATGGCACTGTTGAGTAAGAGGGTAATTATAAGTGAGATTTGCATAGTGCTTACTGTTCAAAAATGTTTTTATGTGTCATTTTGTTCCTCTCAGTAACCGAGTGCAACGTCTTATTTTTAACTCCTACTTTAATATTTAATAGATTTGAAATTGAAGAGATGTTTGCTGACTTGTCCCACCAAGTTAGTAGATGGTAGGTGTCAGAATTGAGACCTGATTTTACAACCCTCTCACTATTTTCTCTTATAGCTTCTTAAAAATTGTACCCAGCAACACATGGGCGTTTTGACAGCGAAAGGATGTAAATCTAGGGCCACTTTTAGTGTCGTTAATAGCAGATCTGAAATTGAGTCTGAAAAGCCTTATGTGTGAGAGGAATGTGACAGGGTTGTGCCCAGAGGTAGGGCCTCACCCTTTTGCAGACTACATAAAATGCTCAGGACTCAAAGATGAACTTGTAAAGTAGTTAGTAATAATTACATACTCTTGTTTAGCTTTTATGCTCCCCTTGGACTCCATGGTTCTAATCATTTTCTTTCTTTTTAACTTTTGTTGCTAGGAGCCTCCAGAAGATGATGCCAACATCATTGAAAAGATCCTGGCATCTAAGACAGTCCGAGAGGTGAGTGGCTCCTGTTTCTAGCTTCTCTGTCACCGCCATGGTGACACCCTTTATGAAGAGCTATTTGGTTAGAGAATGTGGTCAGTTTTTTGGTTTTGGTTTTTCTTTGTGAGAATTCAGTAAGAATATAATCAACTATTTTTAGCCCCAAATAGAATTGTAGGATATGTTGTTGTTGATTGCTGTCGAGTCGAGAACAACTCATAGCGACCCTGTGAACAAAAGGCCTGAAGCCTTTCTATAACTGTTGTCATTTATCAAAGTTAAGATTCTTAAATATCTGCGTATGAGACTAAGCTGACTTTCTCTCTCATTCTAATCCTACCAAGAAGTATATAGCATTTAGTTGCTGTAGCCCATTCAAGTCAGCAGAAGACCAAGAACATGAGAATGAAAACATGATGTCAGCTTAGTAGCAGTGACTTTGGGGCATTCTTTAGATGACATGGGCATATCCGGGCTGTTGTAGGCTGCGTAGAGAAACTTCGGGAAGAGGGGGGATTATGATAGAACTTGTGGAAGAGTTATTTCCTCTTTACCTCACGTGTTTGTGGAAGTGAAGCTCTTTAAGCATGAACACTCACTTTACTATCACACTTTGGTCCTGACGTTTCTCAGAACCCTGGGCCAGTGTGGATTTATTAAAGACACGCAAGATAAGAGACCATATTTACATCATCACAGGGTTTTGGAGAACCTATTCAACAGCTAGGGAGCCCTGGTAGCCTAGTGGAAGGAACTGTGCTGCAATCCTGAAGGTACGCAGTTCAAGGCCAACAGCTGCTGCACAGGAGAAGGATGGGTAGTCTCCTCCTGTGTGATTAACTGCCTCTGAAAACCTGCCGGAGGGTCAGCTATGAGTCATTTTTGACTCTACGGTACAGAACAACAACATTCAATAGCTATCAGAAGACAGTCTGGAAAAATGGGAACATTCTTAGGAAATCTTTACAAAAGCCTCGTGGAAATCTTGATTTACCTTTTGTGTGAGGGGTGGAGAGCAGTGTATACGTAAGGGTGATCTGCACAGGATCTAGGCTAATACCTGTTTCTCTTGGTTACAGGTTCACCCTGGAGAACCTCCGTTTGACTTGGAGCTATTCTACGTTAAGTATAGAAATTTGTACGTTAATTTATTATGTTATTTGGATTTTGTAGGGGTGAAATTTCCCTCTTCATACTTAGCCTCCCCTAAAGCATAACCGACAGATACCCTGATTGCCTTACGCTCACCATAAGCAGTAGTGTTCAACTCTGACCGAGCAAAGGGCATACAGAGAGCTTTTTAAAACTACTGAAGCCCTTGCTCCACCTAAGACTAGTTGACTTAGATTCTGAAAGTGGAAAATAAAGACTTTTTTTAAAAACAAACAAACACCAAACAAAACCCCTGACAGTTCTTCTTTGCATGTGGAGAACCATTGTCTTGTGACTTCCCCCCCCCCCTTTCATTTCTCTCCCTTTGCCCATTTTGGCTAATACATGTTAATGCCTGCCAATGTATACCCTCCCTCTGCTCTCAGCCAGTTTCTATAGAAACTACAGAGAGATCAGTTGCTCAGAACTATTCACTTGTTTTGTTTCCTCTTTTGCTTTTAATGGGCAGAGCTCTTCGAAGCCCAATTCTCAAGCAGTTTTACAGCCTAGCACTCCACTGCTTCTGTATTAGGTGGCCGTCCTGTTTATTGAACATCTTAAAGCTCAGTCATTTGCTAGCTATGTGCTTGTTTCACAATTTGTGTGTCTTTGGATAGTTCCTACTTACATTGTAAATGGGCCACAATGGAAGAGCTCGAGAAGGATCCTCGCATCGCACAGAAGATCAAGCGATTTAGGAATAAGCAAGCCCAGATGAAGCACATTTTCACTGAGGTGAAGCAATGTTTACTCATTTGTTTGCTGCTCTTTCTTGCAGTATTGCGTTCTGGGTTTTAAGTTGCTAAATTTCTAAGTTCTAGTTGAAATCCTATGAAACTCTGCTGCTCAAGTCACATTGCTAACTGTGAAACTAGTCCATATTTAAACTAAAAATAAATTATCCACCAGTGTCTTAACATTATACCTTAAAAAGTGGCAACTCATAAGAGCATGTGTGTTGATCAGAGTACCTGTAATTAAAATGAGAAGATGGTGGATACAGGAATATTTTACCTCTTTCCCCTACAGAAGGTCAATTCCAAAGCAATGTAGTTTTTATGTAAAAGCAACAAAAATAGAAATGTTAAGAGGAGAGAGGCTTATATTTACATAAATTATATTTATGTAAACTTGGAAATTTCTAAGCATCATAACATTTAACAAGGAGAATTGATGAATTTGAATATTAAAACAAATATGTACCATGTATACATTAGAAAATGTCATAACCAAATGTTAAAGCTAAATAAGGAAAAATAACTTTGTGATGTTTAAGTATATTTATGTCCATACACATTTTTCTTTAATTTCATTACATTAATTATTGTTTCATTTCATTAAATTAGTTAATCGTACATACATACAAATGTTGATGACACTTGTTTATGACATCTTTTTTCTCCAATATAGTAACCCTCCTATTATGCACATACACACACACACGCATGCACAAAAAATACCTTTAATGATTAAAAATACTTTTTATAACACAAGAAACCATATTTCAGATAGAAAACATGGAACAAAATGGTCAAACATTAAGAATATAGGAAAAATTTTGGTCGCTAACTATGAAAATGTAGTTCGTTTTATTAGTAATCAAGGAAATGAGAATTAAGATGGAATTTTTTTTTGAAACTTACAAATATTTGGAGATTTCAAAAACAGTGTTATTCTTGCTGCTGAAGGCCTAGAGAGGGGGACAGGGGTATGTGAGGAGTGGGAGCAGTACATGGTGTAACCTGTCAGAAGAACATCGTGTCTCCAAACTGTACCTGCTTTGTCCTTGCAGCTATACTTCTTTGTTTAATTTAAGGAAATCATCACATCATTTTACAAAACTTAGCTATGGCAATGAGATGGTCATAATAGTAAATAATGGAAAAGAGCCAAAATGTTAGATAGTAGGCATTTGTTCCATTTAAGTACTTTCCATAGAGTGGAATGTTATGTGAATAATAAAAATGATACTGGGGAAGATTAATGAATGCAAAGATGTTTAGTATTATAGTGTTAATGAAAATGTCAGACTCTATCTGGGTGTCGTTCTATTTAAAGGAGTAGAGTGCAGGAAAAAGGGCTTCCTATTAAAGTATCCCAGACATCTTGAATATATGTAAAAAGATTTGGCATTGTTTTCCTACTTGGTGAGATTATGGTGTTTTGTTTTTTTACGTAGCATTTCAACTTTTTATGCATATTACTTTTATAGTAAAGAAAGAAATAATCAGAAATATTCTTTGAATGTAAGTCTCTAGTCCTAGTGCCTGAAGTATACTTAGATGCGGCAAATTAGAGTAAATTGCTGCACATGCTAATTTATCTCTTGTTCTTGTTTTCCACTTTTCCTCAAGTGACAGAAATGTGATTGTTTCAGGGTAATGCCAGTAAACACACTTAGAGTCACAGTGTGGAGTTTTTCTGTTTAGCCTTCGTGTTTGGCCCCAGCCCTGCCTATGCTTGCTTTAAAGCACGTGAGAAGTGATTTGCACGATCTGTTCCTCCAGTCACGCTGGGAGGAGGACATGACTAGATTGGCGAAAGCCATTCATTAAGCCCTAAGGACTCTCATTCCTTCCTTGCTACCTTTGAGTCGTACCTCTGTTGTAGCAAGTATTCACAGCGGCAGTGACTCCTTTCATGTCTCTTGTTTCCACTGTAACCTCTGTGAGCTGACAGAACCCCTGTCTTCCTCGTATTGCTGTCCCTGAGAGTAAGCAGAGGTCAGTGATTGGTCATTATTTTGCATTCCCAGGTAAGGAGGAGAGCTTGCCGTAAGCCATTTCTCACTTCACGTCCTCCAGCCCTGAAGGTTTGCTGGGGGGAAAGTCTGCACTCCTGCGTCTGTCTTACAAATCCCATCTTTGTGGCTTGTTCCCAATACAGTGATTTTTCCTTAGTTGAGCATAGAGGAAGGAAGCTCTTACAGGGTATCCAGCCCTATCACAAGGACTCATAGTCTCGTGGGCAGGAAGGCCTTTGAGTCAATTGATGGACAGCATTGCAGTGGAGAGCGTGCTGACAGCACTGCTTTTGTTCTTGGCTGGTTCTGCCTTTTTATTAATAATTTGGGTAAATAATATTCTTGTGATACAGGTAATAGCTTAGTTTCAAATATAGTGTCTTTATGCCCTTTATCTCCCAACTGCTACGAGGAAGCTAGGGTAAAGGGGGCTAGAGAGGGTGCAGGAGACGCAGGAGGCCGTGGTTTTCCCAGGTGCCACAGAGGTTCAAGTCTTCTGCCTCGGAACCCTTAAGCCTTCTGAAGACCTAGAAGGCTTTGCAGTCCAGCACAGCAGTGGGAGGATAAATAACAAGAAGTGTGCCTTTAATGAATGAAATATAATCTGTTTTTAAAATGTTTGTATTTTGGAAATTGGGTCCAGCTGAAAGTGACAAAAATAACTGGTTAGCAATTGTAGGCAAAGAAGATACGGCCAATTTAATTACCTATACACAGCCTGAGTGCCAGGAGTGAGATTTAGCTGCTTAACCAAGGAAAGCTAATCCTAGACTGCACCAAGAAAACAGTCCTGCCAGGAATGGCTCCCCTCAATTGTCAGTTTATAGGGGTACCAGGGTTCAGTGAGGGACTTTACAGAAATAGAACTGTTCACGAGAGCTGGAACAGTGGGGAAGAAGGCAAAAGTGTGATTCAGTAATTGAGAGCAAAGACTGCAAAGGGCTAGTGATAAGGCTTGAGTAAAACTGCCAGGGTCCAGTCCCAGCTCTGTGCCCACATCACAGCCATGTGACCCTGGGCCACTTGCATAAGCTCTTTGAGGCCCAGGCTTCTCCTCTGTGCAGAATGGAACTCGTTGTAATTCTGCTTCAGAGGATACCTGCAGTGTTAAATGACGCAGTGTGCCTGGAAGAAGCACTTGGCGTGATGCTAGTCTCTACTCACTATTCTATAAATGTGACCTGTCTGAAGGACCTGGAACCCGGGTATGAAAAGAACAGACAAGGGTTATTTAACCCAGGTAGAGGAGATGGTTGCCTGCAAGTCATCGAAGAGCCAACACAGGCAAGAATCCATTTCTTTTCTGTGGCTGTAGAGGAAGTTAAAGATATATATGGAGCTCTGGTGGCTTAGTGGTAAGAAGCTGTGTTGCCATACCAAAGGTACCTGGTTCAAATCTACCAGCTGCTCTGTGGGAGAAAGAAGGGTAGTCCCTTCCTGTGCGATTAAACTGCCTCTAAAAACCCACCGGAGGCTCAGCTGTAAGTCATTTCTGACTTGCTGTTATAGAGTAACAATGAAGAATGAGTTCATACAGTGAGACATGATTATGAGGAAGAACAGGCTACAATTTAATAATTACAGTGATAAAAGATCCCATAGTACCACTAAACAGGGAGAGGGAAAGCTGTCTTGGGCTTTAGAGACTAGTCAATTTCCTGACAAGAATAATTGAATTGGATTGTGACTCTTCCAGGAATGATGTACTATAGATTCTTGTATTGATCGTAGAAGAAGCAGCTACATAGTCACTGATGTGCTGTCCCCTGGGTTGGAAAGGCAGATCCTCAGCAGGAGAATGAACCCAGTTGAAATCCTGCCGGGAAGGACTTTGATTCTCACATGAACCCTTTCTCACTGTGTTTCCTAATATGGCCCAGGGAATAGGAGTCACTTAAAGGCTTAAAGGGAGCGCTGTTGGCATAGTGCCTAGGGAGTTGCACTGCTCACCCAAAGGTAGTGCCTTTCTGGGGGTTCGAATCCACCAAGTGGCTCTGAGGGGAAAAGACGGCAGTCTCCTCCCATGCAGTTTCCAGCCTCGGAAAAAAGGTGAGCTCTGAGTTAGTTCCAACTCTTAAGGTAGTGAGAGAGAGGCTTTAAAGATCAAAGGCTCAGGGTTGGAGTTGAGGGAAGGGAACTCTAAACTGCTTTCCTTTGTTCACATCAGCCTGATGAAGACTTGTTCAATCCCGACTATGTAGAAGTCGATCGCATCTTGGAGGTGGCGCACACCAAGGATGCAGAAACAGGAGAGGTGGGTATTTTGCCCTTTGCTCTTCCCACCTTGTCTGCCCTTCTTACTGTTTTGGGGAAATGCTTGGTTGTGACCTTTATTATAATTGCATTCGTTGGGTGTTTTTCCAGCAGGTTTTCAGAGACAAGCCACAGTATGATCACCCTATTTAAATAGGAAGAACTTCAGTTTCTCTCCTGTGTTTCCCACCAGGAAGTGACGCATTACCTAGTGAAGTGGTGCTCGCTGCCATATGAAGAAAGCACTTGGGAGCTCGAGGAAGATGTGGATCCTGCAAAAGTGAAAGAATTCGAGTCTCTTCAAATTCTGCCAGAAATTAAGCACGCGGTAGTGTATTATTGTTTTGCACCTTGTGTAACATACCTATCTTTTTATGAACTTGGCAATCATGACTGTCTAGCTGGTTACCCTAAAGTTCAAGGAGTTTTCTTCACTTTGTCAAACTTTACCAGCATTCAGCTTTAGGTCTGGGCTTTATTTTGGTGTATGTGGCATTTAATAAGCTTGAACGTAAGGTTAACATTGCTTGGCTTATGGCTCTTCTAAGGTAGAAGGAGTGAAAAGTACCTGGCGAATTCTTTCCTGTTTCTTACTTCTTTCCCCTGTTTTGTCAGTGATCTCTCTGTCCCTTTATTTTCTTTGCTTTCACTCAGCTGAAAGATTATTTGGGGATTTTTTCCCCCTTCTTTTGTGATTCATCTACATTTTGTCCTATGAGATTATCTATACCCATGTGACCTAAGTCACATTTTCCCCACCTCCCTGAAATGCTGATTTCTGTTGATCCTTCTCTCCTTCACTGTGTCTTCCCTCCTTTTGGTGATCTTGTGCCAATCATCACCTTATTCTATATTGCCTTGCCCTTCGCCCTTCCTAACATGTACCTCAAATCCATTCACTCATTTTTACACCTCCCTTCCTTGCCATTCCTGGTACCTCTCCAGGAGTGATTCTGCCCATGTGTAAACCTTTTCTCAGCTTTTTATAACAATCATCTTATACAATTATTTGTTCTTTAGTGACTGAGTTATTTCACTCAGCATGATGTTCTCTAGATGTATCCATGTTTTACTAATTCTTCCTTGGTTTTCAGTGTTACATGATACTCTGTTGTGTGACTTATTCATCTGTTGATGAGAACTTGAATTATTTCCATTTCTTCACTATTATAAATCATGCTGCGGTGGACATGGGTGTGCACACATCTTATTTATGTTGTAGATCTTATTTCCTTTGCTTATATATGTGGTAGTAGGATTTCTGGATTAAATAGTATTTCTTTTTTCACCTGGGAGATTCTTAAGGTTTAAGATTTAATCTCTATACCTCATAGGTTCTTAGTATATGTTTTGAATAAATTTGTTTTTCTGATTCTGAATTGTAATCATTTTGCAAAGAAATCCCAGAATTTCTGGGAAGTAGTTAAATGGAGGAGAGTATCAACTGAAAAGAGGTAAAATGGTGTTCAGAACCTGGTTAAAGTATAACTAACTAACTTGAGAGAGTTAAAAAGAAATACGACGACTAGAATGATTATAATTCCTTTTTTTTAAAATAGAAACAAAGAACCAATCATCTCTGCATGAAGAACTCATCTCTAATTCTTTATTATTATAAAACCTGTTGAAAACTAGAACCTATAAGGCAGAAACCTATCAGACAAGGACTTAAAAACAGTGTTTTCCACTAAAGAGAGTGATAGAAAAGTAATAATGCTGTACCTTGTGAAAGGAGGGAAAAACTGAGACTGCAAAAACAAGGTTTTCCTCCTGAGTTCCAGCTCTCACAAGGACTTCGTTGTGGTATTTGTGTTGTGTTTACATCTCTGGAGAGTTGGAGTCCAGAAGGCAAAGTTTCGAAATGTAAGTGGTCCTTGTCAGAGTCTGTTCAAAGGCAGCAATTTTATTTTGGATTTTGTTTTATCTTCTTTGAGGCATATTAAGTGCATAAAGGTATCTTGAGATTAAGAAAGGCAGTAAGGAATCTTTGTAGTTTATAGTATTCTACCTACATGTTTGGTTATGAAGTTTCTTGATAAACCATTTCTGTGGTGGTTTTTTTTGGTTGTTGTTGTTGGTTTTTAATTTGGGTTGTCAGTCATTTATTAGCATCTGGTATGACTGGATTCTTGCATGAGATTCAGTAAAGACCAAAGTAAAGGCCCTGCCCCAGGAGCTCTCAGACCAGTGGAGGAGGCGTGTGTCTGCGTGGACAGATAGGGCATCAGGCTGGTTAAATACGTGACACAACACAGAGATACACTAAAGGGGAGGCAGAGCATGGAGAGAATTTTCTTTTGAAGCTACTAAGAAGTTATCATCTAGAAGTAATCAGGACTCTTTCCCACTCTCAGCCTCCCACTTACTTCCTCAGTCTGACTGCATGCACTTGGCAAGTGCTTTTAGACGATTTCACATTTCCTTTCCTTTGCCATTTGTGCTTCCACTCTCTTCCCCATCTCACTTAACCGTGGTGTTGTCTCACACTTGTCATTTGTTCCACTTGCTTCTCCTCTCATTTAAAAGGCACATTTTGAAATTTTATTTTAAGAGTTCTAAAATGAAATGGTTCCTAAAAATAGGATTAAAACTTTTTATGTTTGTTAAGAAAGGATGACTCTGCATGATACTTCACCTTAAATATTTTGTTTTCTTTTTAAAGCTTTATATGTTGTTGGGTCCTGTTGAGACAGAACCAACCCATAGCTGACCCTCCAGTGGGTTGTCAGAGGCAGTTAATGATGAAACTCAGCAGCTGCTCCATGTGAGAAGCATAAGCAGTCTCCTCCTGTGAGATTTACTGCCTCTGCAGGGCCAGTTATGCATCACTTCCCACTTGATGGCATATAGCAATCACATCATTTATAATTACAGACAAAACGAACAATTGTTTCTTTTTAAGACTTTTAAAGTATTGATTTAGGAGGTCTTAATATGTCCATTAAATATGGTCCACCATAGGACCAACAGTCAACATTATGGTATATAGAGAAAGTATTAAAGCTGTCAGTGATTTCATCTTGCTTGGATCCACCATCAACACTCTTAGTACCAGCAGTCAGGAAATCAGGGGACTTACTGCATTGGGCAAGTCCCTGTCGGTCCCCCTCTCTAAAATGCTGAAGAGTAACGATAGCAGTATGAGGACTGTGGTGTGCCTCATTCAGGCCATGGTCTTCTCAATCACCTGCTGTGCATCAGAGAGCTGGACGATGAATAAAGATGACAAAAGAATTGATGCTTTCGTGTTAGAGAAAAGAATTGAATATACCGTAGACTGTCAAGTAAATAACCTGGATCTGGCTCCACAAAGACAGTGTGGCCTAAGTGTTGGTAGCTGCCAGGGCAAAGTGTTGTTAACTTTGGAGCCTGGGCTTTGACCAGTTATCTGACTCCAGTTTAAGGTACCAATAGCAGCCACAAAAGGTTCGCCTGGTCATAAAGGTGGAGCGGGAAGTCCAGGTTACCAGAGACACTAACATTTTTCTCTAGGAGAGCTTCTGGACCAGAAACTAGATGGACAGAAGAGCATGTGTGTGAACAAAGGAGACTTGAGTGTGGGGCAGGCCAGCTGGCTGTGGCTCATAGTTGAACCCTTTCTCATGCCCTGCCCTGTCCTGTCCCATGGCCATCTCCTGAAGCACCTTTGTTCAGAAATTGATGAGACGCTGTTCGGCAGAGCTCCCACCACACTTTTCCTCTAACTTCCATCTCCCTTCCCTCTTGGCTTAGCCACGGAGGCTTGTGCTGGAGCCCCCCTCAACCTTCCTCCATGTACTCCACAACCAAGCACTATTAACAGAATCAATCAATCTTTATACTAAAAAAAAAAATAAATAAAAAATTAAATGTGGGATAGACTCTCCACAACATTTTTTTACAACTCTCCACCAGATAGAAAAAAACCAAACTGGTTTTATTGCATAATAGCCAAAATTGATTAACAGAAGAGAATGCACATGCAGAAGCTACATAAAAAGTAGCCAACACATTGTAAGTTAATGTATGACATATCTGATGTCATGTCTGTAGATAGAAATGTAATTTCTTTTAAAAATCATGTTATGCAAAACTAAAACTAGGAAGCCTTCATCTTCTCTGTTGACGGATCCCTGGTGGCGCAGTGGTTGTAGTGTTTTTGGTTAGCAGCACAACTCAGTATGACTCCCTTGCGTTGTAACTGGAGGGTCAGCTGTTGGATCTTAACAACTGTTGTGGGAGAGAAAGATGTGCTTCCGTAAAGATTTACAGCCTCAGAGATCCTAGGGGGCATTTCTGCCTTGTCCTGTAGGGGCATTGTGAGTTGGAATTGACATAATAGCAGTGCTTTTGAGTTTTTTGGGGGGAAGATGAGGGTGGGGGTTTTGACTGCTTAGAGAAAAGTTAGGGGATTGCTGTTCTTGTTAGTTGCCATGGAGTTGACTTTGGTTCATAGCAGCGTTACAGACAGCACACCTGAACCTTGCCTTTCTCTGCACCATCCTCACCAACTCTGATTGGCGTGGACCCATTGTTACAGTCACTGTGTCAGTCTGTCTTGTTGAAAGTCTTCTCCCTTTCTCTGGCTCTCCACTTTCCTAGGATGGTGTCTCTTTCCGAGAACTGGCCTTTCCTGACAACATGCCTGAAGTATATAAAACCAAGTCTCACAATCCTTGCCTCTAAGGGACTAGCACAAGGATTTGTAATTTAAGAATTTTGCCTTACATATTGACTTTGAAACCTAACCAGTGAGATTTCCCACTGTTCTTTCCTGAGTGTTCTCCCAAGCACAGGAAGTAACGAAAAGAAGATTTTATCTGTAGAAACAAACAAAAAAAAATCTGATTAATACTGATTTACTCGGAAAATCCATGTAAACAAGGTATCTAAATGCAAGTATAGGACTATATATAATTTATCAAGAACTTAGATGGATCTAAGTTCTCTTCTTATTTAACTACTTGCAAATGTTCTAGAGGAGTTCTTAGCTCTCACTGGTGAGAGCTAGAGAATATAAAGCCCAGAAACATATTTTAGAATCTAAAGATGATTAACTGCAGTTTGGAATCAGCCTTAGATCAGTTTTTTGAGATTTACTATCATCCTCACAAGTACTCAGTATGCTTACACATTTTATAATCTAAAAAAATCATCTCTCTGTGCATTGTGCTTTCTGCTTCCTTCCACCAGGAGCGGCCAGCTTCGGACTCATGGCAGAAACTTGAGAAGTCCCGGGAGTATAAGAACAGTAACCAGCTCCGGGAGTACCAGCTAGAGGGAATGAACTGGCTCCTTTTCAACTGGTATAACAGGTGAGGAACTAGACGCAGTCCTGTTGCCACGGACCAGATTTCTCCACGTGACTGCGCCTGCAGCTGTGTTGTTGCTGTATCCTGGAATGCTAAGTGTGAAATGGTCAGAGCGACACAGTCACCCAGTTAGGTATGGCATGCTCGGTGGTACGGAGCTGCAAACCAAGAGGCTGCTATTTCAAAGCCACCAGTCAAGCCACAGGAGAAAGACGAGGCAGTGTGCTCCTATTGCTAAGATTTGTAGCCTCAGAATTCCAGTGGGGTCAGCATGAATCGAAATAAACTCCATGGCAGTGAGTTCTTGAATCTCTATTTTATGCATATAAAAGTTGGACCACAAATAAAGAAGGCTGAAGAAGATTTGATACCTTTAAACCTACAGAGACTATGGAATATACTGGGAGCTGCCAAAAGAATAGACAAACCTGTCTTGGAAGAAGTATAACCAGAGATTGTGTTAGATGAGGATGTCAAGACTTCATGCCGTGTACTCAGACGTTTTATCGGGAGGGGCCAGTTCCTGGATGAGGACGTCATGCTTCTCAAGTAGAGAGCGAACAAAATAAAAGGCCTTCAATTAAATGCATTGACCCAGGGGCGGCAACAGTAGGCTCAAGTCCCGCAGTGATTTTGAAAACGGTATAGGCCCAGGTAGTGTTGCGTTCTGTGCACAGGGTGACGATGAGTTCAAGCTAGCTCCATGGCACCAGCAATGGTAATAACATTTTTTGTTGTTATATCAGATATTTTCTCCAACTGAAAGGATTGATGCTTGATATCATTGACTGGGTGCTTTTCTTCTTTGCTAGTCAAGTTGTTGTTGTTATGTGCTGTCACGTTGCCTGAGTCAACTTAGATGAGGTGGGGGGGAGAATCCTGTAAGGCTCCTTCCTCAGGTTTTCCACTGAGCGTGACTGGAAGCAGCAGTGAATCTCTCCTTGGCCCTGCCACTCACTTGTGAGCAACTTATGGTCTGGCCTTGTCCTGTCATGCTTAGGTCTGAACTCTTTGTGCCCTGATTTTACTAGAACTTTGCTAACACAGGTGAAATTTGAGAAACAAGGGCTGAGGCTTTCTTCACATCCTAACACCTACCCAACAGTATTGAATTTTAAAAGGAGAGCGTGTGATGGAAACAAGCCAGAAAGGGACTCTGTGTCCCTGCCTTGTCTCTGCCACGTAGTCATCGTAAGTCAGAAAGCAGCACCACGCTTCCTCCTGCTGGGTTCTGGGTGCTCCTCTGTCCAGTGAGGAGTTCGCTCGGGGGGTTGCCACGCACCTGTCAAGTCACAGCTTCGTCTGCTTGTGTGACTTTTGGATCACCAGAAGAGACCAGTAATTTTAGCCTAATAAAGATTTTATTATGTTTAATTGGCTCCTTGATGACATAAAAATAAAACAAAAAACACAAATGTTTTTCTTCTTCTTGATCTCCATTTCAGCTCTTTTAATTAAAAAAAATTATGAGCAACAGTGAAAGAATCTTTTCAAGAGAAAAGCAAACCTGGGGGAGTAGGGGAGAAAATGGGGAACAATGAATTAATGGAGATCCAAGTTTTCCGTAAACTTTTGTTAACATACCAATTAAAAACGGGAAAAAAATTAAGATATAGATCAGGGTGTGCTTCTGAAGTCCCATTAGATAAACCCACCTCTTTGTATTGTTGATGGTTGACTTACCTGTGTTCCTTACTCTGCAGAAAAAACTGTATCTTAGCAGATGAAATGGGCCTAGGAAAAACCATTCAGTCCATCACATTCCTTTCGGAAATATTCCTGAGGGGAATACACGGCCCTTTCCTCATCATCGCCCCTCTCTCCACCATCACCAACTGGGAGCGCGAGTTCCGGACGTGGACCGAGATGAACGCGATTGTGTACCACGGCAGCCAGATCAGCAGGCAGATGATCCAGCAGTACGAAATGGTGTACAGAGACGCACAGGTAGGCCTCGCACGGCTCCCCGCGAGCCAGGACAGGGCTCTGCAGGGCCTCGGGAGAGCCAGCCTGTGCTTGGTCTGCAGGGCTGTTAATGCGCTGTGCCGCCTCGACTCACTGTCAGCTGACTTTGAGGAGACTTTTGTCTATTGAGCATGCTTGATCCTTCCTGATAGAATATTTCATAATAAAACACAGGAATCCAGGCTCAGTTTTTCACTCAGGACACTTGAAAGCTTGGCTTATGAAGTCAATTTTACATGCACATTTTGTCTGATGATGAAGAAAGTCAGTAGAAGAATCAATGTACAGAAGAAGGGCCTTCAGCCAGGAAATGAGGAGAGGAGATGAATAGATTTGACAGAGAGCGGAAACAGTCTTCCCACAGCTTAAAGCACAAAAGAATTTTTTTCACAATTATTTTTCCATTTTTTGTTAAGCATAGTCACTTTGCTGAAATAAGCTTGCAGACGCAATGCCCTCAGCACAGGTTTTGGTAATTAAGCAAGGTGAGAATGAAATGAACCCAGCTCGCAGGAAGTCAGTGCTTTCCCTGGAGGAGTTCAGTAGACAGCAGAAGAAATACTTGGAAGGCGTTTTAAGATGCGCTCCAGCACCAGGCAGCTCTGCCCGCAAAATGGGACAGGCTGCAGGTGAGGATGTGTGCTGCAGGCCTGGTAGCACTTTCCCGGTGAGTTAGGATCATTACTTTCACTCTGTGCTGAAACCCAGTAAAGAAACTAATCGTATTTAACAAGTAGTGAAAGAGAGTTTCGTTTCCTTGGGCGGCCTAGGCATGTTAGGAACCTGGTCCTAGTTGAGAATGTGTGAATCAGCCTTTCACACTGCTCCTCTTTGTCAGCTTTGTGAAGGCACATGTTTTCTTTCTTGTTTCATTGATGTAGTAAGCTCTCCGTCTTAACTCCACGGTTGGTTTCCTGCTTAACGTCCCACCTGGACTCACCGTGCTTGCTGGCTTCTCACCTAGGCCCTAGCATTTGTAGTGTAATCCCTCAGGGCCTGTGAGCACGATTCATAAAGCTGCGCTTTCGGTTGTATCATTCTCAGGGAAACCCCCTTTCAGGAATCTTCAAATTCCACGTCGTCATCACAACGTTTGAGATGATCCTGGCAGACTGCCCAGAGCTGAAGAAGATTCACTGGAGCTGTGTGATAATTGATGAAGCCCACAGATTGAAGAATAGGAACTGCAAACTCCTGGAGGGTCTGAAGCTCATGGCCCTGGTGAGAGTCAGCCGACTTTCTACTAAACACAGCTTCCCTCTCTTCACCAACAACGTTTTTTAGGAAGCATTCTTTAGCCATTCTGCTTCCAGATGGCATGACTCGTGCAAACTCCTTTTACTCTGGGTTTTCTCTTTGCCCTTTGTAGTTGTGACAGTATAGGGATCAAGATTTCTTTTGTTAGGCATGGGGTTAGCATTCCAACTCTGCCATAGACTAGTTCCCAAAGGAACACAGGGGAATTGTAAATGCCATAAACTTTGTGACCTGGATGTAGAAGGTGTGTTGGCTGGTTTGCAGGCTCCTGATGATCAAAGATGATGATGTTTTGAAAATGACTGACTTGGTGTAATGCCCAGTTAAAGGTGGCTAGATACCCCATGATACCAAGTGAGTAAGTGAATGATGACCTAAGAGGCAGGGCCATTGAGAAGAAGACTGAGCCTTTTATTGACTGGACCCTTACAAAGGGTGGGTACCCTGACTTGCTATAAAAGCACAGAGAATTACCCCACCTTGAGAATAGAATACCTGAACTCCGTTTTCCCACCAGTAGTCAACTGTATTGGTCCGAACATGGTCCGTCCTGTTCTTTTGCCTTTTCATTTGCACAGGAGCATAAAGTCCTACTCACCGGGACGCCCCTGCAGAACTCTGTGGAGGAGCTGTTCAGCCTGCTCAATTTTCTGGAGCCGTCTCAGTTTCCGTCAGAGACTGCGTTCTTGGAGGAGTTTGGAGATCTGAAAACAGAGGAGCAGGTAAATAGCGGTCCGAGCGACAGTGTGGACCGTGGGATGGCTACCTTCACCATCAAAAGAAAGCAAATCACGGTGGGGACAGACCTTCACAAGTGTTCACATCCCCGCTAAAATCAGGCTTGGTGTCATTTGTTCCTGTTGGGGAGAGGAAGCCAGTTGTGGCTCCGAAGGGAGTTGTGTTGGCGTTGGTTGGCACGACTTGCACTGCTAACCCAGTGCTGGTGCTCAGGAGAAAGGGGAGCAGTTTCCTCAGTTTACACTTTGCTGAAAACTGCTTGAAGGTCAACTGTGGATTGGTTTTGACTCAAAAGTGAGTAGAGTTTATTACTATAAAAAAAATTATTAATCTCAAACGTGTCAGACTTCTGCCTTCACTGATGTCACTTGAAAGTTTGATGGCTTTGCCGGTAGCCACGACCCCAGAAGCCTGAGCTTGCTTCTGCTTCGCTCACCTTTTACCCTCCCTCCTTCCTCATCTGAAACATGTTCTGAGGTAAACAGAATACACAGATTACCAGATGGAGCAGGCTGTCTCCTCTCTGGAGTAGTTGAAGTTCTCTTTTGCCAAACTAGACTTTCTCAGTTTTCAAAGACCTTACTTTCCAAGTCTGGGTAATTGAATTGAGAGCTGATTCAACACATTTGACATTGTTAAATATCTATTTAGTATTATCTACGAGGGGTTGTAGAAATTAGCCAGAGAAATGTAAATGTCATAGAGGAACAAGCTGACAGTGGCAATGGCAGTCTAAAAACACGGAGGTCACGTAGTTCGGTAATCTTCAGGAAGATGGGTACAGTTTCATAAAGTGAAGACTGTTTATACCATAATTGGAATCATGGGATTTACTCAGTATTACAGCATGGTCTTGAAATGGAAACAAGGTAGATAAATTTGTACAGTGACAGACCAGAGGGAATTATTTTGTGGGACTATCTGGAAAGACAGGTAGAGGAAATTGGTAGGCAGTTAGAAATGTCATGCAAAGGTTTGATCACAGGAATGTCATAATTACTTCTGCTAAATTAATTTAGTGATACTGTGAATGTGGGTTGGGGCAGAGAACTTGAGGACTGAGAAGATTTGGGAATTTCTCTGGCACATGTCAAGAGTACACTCTAGTTCCAGTCTGTTTCTTTCTACTTCTGGTGCAACTCGGACTTTGAGAGAAGTGAATAATGAAACTTAATTCCCCTTCTCTACATTTGCAGTATCTGTCGTTCCTAGAGTCAGCTCGAAGAGTCTCTTCATTTTTGGCCCATTAGAAATGCATCCCCTTCTCTCATTGCACTTAATTTGTGGTATGCATGTTTTCTTCTTCCTAGACTATGACCTCCCTGAGGACAGACAAGGCCCACCCACATCTTCTCCAAAGTTGTGTTTGTTGTGTTGACCAGCACAGTGTCTGGCATGTAGTGTACTCTAATGACTCAAGGTATGACTCAGTGAAGGACACAGCGGAGCCCAGCATGCAGCAGATTGGAATTTGTCTGTCTTTTAACAATTAGCTAGCAGTGTCTTTTCTCTTTGGATTCATACCGTTTATTACCCATTTGGGGCATTCCTGAGTACTGTGGTTGCTAAAATCAAGTTCTCATAAAGGGAGTAGGTTTAGGATTGGAATTAGTTAATTAGGAGAAAATGGTATAGATGACATCAAATGTCTGTATTTTAAACCACAATAAGTAAAAGTTTTAGAAAGCATCTGTTTCCAGAGTGAACCATATTCATCATTATTTGAAATATGTAATTGTTATGATTCAGTCTGTTTCTTCAGGAAGCATATAACTCAGCATCTCTTGCACACAACCTACTTAGGCAGACTCGACCTATTTTGAAATTTTTCCAGTAGTCTTTTTTCTGACTTGAAACTTAATTTCTTCTGTACTTGAATTTTCCCTCCCCTCTCACCACCAGTATTAATTATACAGTTGGCATGTTTTGGTTCAGGGTTAACCTGGGTATCTTGATTTTGAGTCCTTATTGTGCCATGTCGTTTTCAGGAAATGGGGCAAATCTCCATACTGGTACAGCCCAGTGAGTAAAGCTGCAGTGCAGTGCCAGGATTTTAGGAGAAAAAACGGACCAGTTATAGCATAGAATGCCTCCTGACCAAAGTACCCTGGATGGGACAGTTTCCATGTGTTTCTGTAGAATGAATGTTAACTCTTTATGTACTGCTACCAAACATGTGTGCCATTATTATTACTTAGAAGATGTAGGGACACAATCTTTTGCCAGATTGACTCTGCCTTTTACTCTGTTCTTCCAGCATCTAAGTCTTCCCTTTGTCATTTATCATGTGTACTTCCTAACATGGTTTACTATGTCCTTCAGGTAATAATTGTGTGCGTGTATATATTAAAGAGAGAGAGTGTTCTCCATCCTCGAGAATGTTTTGGGGTTTTTTTTATCATTTTTCCTGTGTATTTTGTAAGGTTGTCCCATAGATTTTTAAGAATTACTTCCTTGTAAATCAGTCCCCTTTTCCCTTCTTAGTGTTTTTATAAACAGCCTGTGCACGGTGATCAGCCAGTTCTTTCTTTAAATCTCTTGCTGCAGTGCTGTGATTAGATGGTTGAGACTATAGTGAAGACTAAAATGCCCCAGTACTCTCGTCAGATGTAGATGGGGCAGGTGAACAGGTCTCATTTCCCTGAACAGGTGAAGAAACTGCAGTCTATCTTAAAACCAATGATGCTTCGGCGCCTGAAAGACGATGTGGAAAAGAATCTTGCTCCCAAACAAGAGACAATCATTGAAGTAGAGCTGACTAATATCCAGAAAAAGTATTACCGTGCCATCCTGGAGAAGAACTTTTCCTTCCTGGCCAAGGGAGCCAATCAGCACAACATGCCCAATCTCATCAATACCATGATGGAGCTGAGAAAGTGCTGTAACCACCCATACCTTATCAATGGTGAGTTGGGACCAGGGACTGACTGAGGCCTTGCATGCACCTTTGCCAAAAGTTCTGATAATCAGACATCTCTTGTTGAGCTACGGATATGCTCTAAAGAAGAGCGGTTGCCACAGAGGATATTCCAACTCATGATGGCTCCATATACATCAGAGTAGAATATATAGGGCCTCCAGAGGCTCACTTTTCAGAAGTAGATCACAAGGCCTTTTTGTCAAGCGTGTCTTGGTGAACTTGAACTTTTAGCCTGTTGGTTAGAGAGACATGTTTACCATTGGTACCACCAAGGGATTAGATACAGTAAATTGGCTTACACTTGATTGCTAACACAATTAGAAATGCCCAAATAGTTTACCCCCAGCTTTCAAGTAAATCACAAACACCCACCAGGATCCGACTACACCAAGCTAAAGGCTTGGCACCTAACAACAACAACAACAAATCACCAAGGGACTCTCCTTTATATGGTAGGATCTATATATACATATATGGTATGCTCACCTTTTTTACAGAGCATAAGTTAAGGTTCAAATAGGTGAAGTGGTTTGCCTGAGTAATCTAGTCTACTAAGTGAATAAAGCCCAGGGCTGGACCTAGTGATGATGCTGGCTCTATGTCTGTAGTGCCCCATTTCCTATTAAGAGCCTAGGGCTGGACCTAGTGCTGCCGGCTCTGCCTCTGTAGTGCCGCATTTCCTATTATGAGCCCAGGGCTGGACCTGGTGCTGCTGGTTCTGCCTCCATAGTGCCCTGTTGCCTTGTCAGCAGACAGCTCCCACTCATCAGTCTGCTGCCCTTGGTTTACATGCAGTGTACTTCATTTTTTCCATCTTGGGACAGGTAAATGTATTACTCAGTTAAATAAATGATAATGACAATGAGGTTCACATGCTGTGCACAATTATAGAAGTTGTAATACAAGGACTTCTGGTGTCAGTAATTGCAAGAGCTCAGCCACTAACCAAAAGGTTGGTGGTTCAAACTTACCAGTAGCATCACAGGACCAAAGACCTAGCCACCGACTCATAAAGATTTTTAAAAAATCCCTTTCTGTTAGGTCAGCTTCCGACTCAGTAATCTTATAGAATGGACCCATATCGTTTCCATGACTATAATCTTTACAGAAACAGATTGCCACACATTTTTTTCAGCTAGCATGGAAATGTTTTAACCACTGTGCCACCATGACGACTCCTATAAAGATTCCAGGCAGCTTAGGAAATCCTCTAGGGCAGCTTTACTCTAGAACGTAACTGAATTGAAGTTGACTTGATGGCATACAATAATCAGATTGCACAGTGTGGGGTAGTAAGGTTAGAGATATGTGGAATTGGGGGAGGGGGAAGCTCAGTGTTTAAAAGGAGCAAGGAAGATTTTTTCCCCCCCAAAAAAAACCCTTTGAAAAAAAATTTGAATGAAAATGAGGCTTGGGTTCTCTTAAAACTGGTCAAAACTTGTCTTAAGAATTTTACATTCTTGGAGGTTTTTTTTCTTGGGGTGAGTCATCTAGGATTTGGTAACACAGAGGCTGCTCTCTGCATGGTGAGACTTGTGGAGATTGGGAGACCTGTGTCCTCTGCAGAGCAGCTCTGCCGCTTCACCCGAGGCCCCCCTGGGTGCACGGCGTCTCGAGGGACTGCCTGGCATCCAAGACCTGAGAATGCACTGCAAACAGATGCCGCCGTGTTTCCTAGGATCTGTAAAACAGAGAGCAGCTTTTGCCCCAACATTATGTTCAAGGAATAGTTTTGTTCCGTTCCTTTTCAGGGGCGGAGGAGAAAATTTTAGAAGATTTCCGAAAAACCCACAGCCCTGATGCTTCTGACTTTCAGCTGCAGGCCATGATTCAGGCAGCAGGGAAGCTGGTGTTGATTGATAAGCTACTCCCTAAGCTGATTGCTGGCGGCCACAAAGTGCTCATCTTCTCCCAGATGGTGCGCTGCCTCGATATCCTAGAAGATTATCTCATCCAGAGAAGGTGAGAGTTGCGTCAAAGCTGCAGACCATTCCTTTTCCTTTATGTCCTTCTGATCCATTAAAAAATGGAGGGGAAAAAAGACCTCCTAAAGATTGTTTAAAATTCAGAGTTAAATCTTGTGCCCAACTATCTTCCGGTTTAAATTCAAGTTTAACCATTTGGAGTGAATTTTGCATAGCCTCACTTGTAACATGCTTCAATAGTTTCTTCTCCCCCTCCCCACCACCCCGTAAGAAGTGGGCAAGGAGGTGCACTGCCAGCCCAGAGGCTTGAGGCTCGAATCCACGGACTGCTCCAGGGTAGAAGGATGAGCCGTCTCCTCTGATTTACAGCCTCTGAAAACCCGCTAGATGATCAGTTACAGTCAGCTTCCAACCCCAAGACAATGAGTAGTAGCAGAGGTGTTTTGTGTTGGGTTTTTTTTTAAAAACTGCATGTTTATTAATAGTCATTTTAGTTGGAAGATAAAGAATTCAGAAAGCATTAGAGGTTTTAAAACAATATATTTATTTTCATCTTCTTCTCACTTAAGAGATAAATACGTCCTACAGAGCATCTCTTTATTTGATTTCTAAAACAGCAGAAGGTGGCAACTGGTAAATGAATAAATGGAGGAGGACATTTCATGTTCTTTCTCAGCAGACCTTCTAAGATTTCCTAATAAACTAACTATGAGCATCCCAACCCAGTTTATTTTCGTGTTCATATTCCTTTAATTCCTTGACCCTAAAATTCCATTATTCCTGCAGGTGGACTGTCAAGTGTCATACGGGTTGTTTGGATTCTGAGCGAGTACTATGTTTGCTTCTTTCTACACTCTACCTAAGATTTCCAGTCCTTTCAGTGCAGTAGCGGTGATAGCAGGATTATAAATTGAGCTTTTTTTTAGAGATTTCTTGTAAAAAAAAAACTCGTGTGTGTGTGTGTGTGTGTGTGTGTGTGTGTGTGAGAACCATCAAACTGGATCTGACTGGTACCAGGAGGAGATTGTCCCTCCTTCTCCAGCAGAGCACCTGATGGATTTGAACTGCTTGTCTCTGGGATCGCAGTGAAGCTTCACCATAAATTGATCTTTTTAAGCTGTATTCTTTGTGTTTTTTGTTTTTTTATTTTATTTTATTCGTATTTATTTTCTTTTTAACAATTCTTAATGATGAAAGACTTTTCAGCATCATAGACATTATTAGCTTTGTTGATTGTTATGTGTGTTCAAGTTGCCTGTGACTAATCACAGCCCTGTGTACAACAGCTCTGAAGCCTACCCTGTCCTAAACCAGTCTCACTGACTCCAACACACCTACCCCCGTTGCCCCAGTTACTGTATCAGTCCATCTTATCCAGGGTTTTCCTTTTCTGCACTGTCCCTCCACCCTTCCAAGTACGATGTCCTTCTCCAAGGACCGTTCCCTCCTGGCCTCAAGCCTAAGTTTGTGAGATGGAGCTTCAAAATCCTAGCCTCCAATGAGAAACTTACTTTCACCCTTTCCAAGACATTATTATCTTATTAGATTATTAGCCTAGTCATTGCTAAATTTTAAAGGAATTTGTTCTTTGCATATGGTGAAAACAGCACATTTCAGTTGTCTTAACAAATATTACTATCCTATTAGAATGTTTATTACTTTTGTAGTTTATAGGAAGTATTAATGAAAATGATATAAATGGCTTTAGGATATGTTGAGTTTGAATGTTGCATAAATCTGTAATCTGATTAGACAAAGAAGTAATTTCTTGGAACCATATAGTGTAGATTTATATGCAAAAAATTCTTGAGACTTGGTGTTTTGTTTTCTTTTGTCCTTTAAGAAACCTAAAATGAATGCATCAGAACCAGTCATTTTATAGACTCACTATAGATTATGAGCCTATTGTTAGAACATTTGCAAGTTATAAATATATATATTCCATTGTTCTTCATAATATGTGCAACTATTATAGTTTTCCAGTTTTTAAAGAATACACACAAAAAATGATTAACAGTACAATGAGCAAACTTTTGCTAAGTATAAAAATATGCTTATCATTGTAGTTTTTCTTTTCTCATTTATTATTCATTCTGTTTTCAAATAGTTTTGTAAATAGTACCGTTTCTTTTGCATAATTTTGATGATTTGCATGCTATTTCTAGAGACTGTCCGTATTTTTCAGCATTTTAAGAAACTATACATATCTGTTTCATTTCATTGTGTATAACTCTCATTCTTCGGAAAATTCCAACATTTCTAAAAAAAATTGATTACGTCCTTTAGAAAAAATGTTTTATTTATATATTTTTCAGCAGTGTATAAGAATGAGTCATTTTCTTTACTCTGATCAATATTTACTAGTCTTTGCTAATTTAGTCAGTCTAAATTACAGGCTCTTACTTTTGTCTTTCTGATTACTAGTATGGGTGAATATTTTTCTGTTTATGAGTTACTTCTTTCCTCCTTGTGACTTCCTTGTTCATGTTCTTTTCTGTGGCCTTTGCTTTTTTGTTATTAAGTTACAGGAATTATTTGTTTACTTAATAACAAAGTACAAATACTATCTTCAATACTGCTTTTTTTATTTTTAGTCTTTTATTTATGGCTGAGTTATTTTGCTTGTCAAATCTCTGTCTTAAGTTACTTAAAATAGTCTTACATATATTTAGAAACATTGTCTCCAACTCCCAGCTCTGTATTCAGAAGAATTTTATTTTCATTCTTTCTTGGTTTCTTCATCTGAGCCCCAACCAGTAGGGTTCATCTGGTTCTAATATGATCATTACCCTTCTCTTTTTCATTTTCTTTTCATCAGTGTTCTGCATGCACGTAACGTAGAGTCCAATCATTGTTTAGGCTTTAGAAAAATTGCATTTTCATAATTAACTGCCTGCCCTTCTTCCCCCTAGTGCCCTACTCTGATTACTGTCAACTTTTGATGCTATCTCTTTTGGTATTTATAGTTATATTTCATGATACCTGAGACAGTTATAGTTATATTTGATATGTTACTCTGTATCTAGTGGGAATGCTGGTGGCCTAGTGGTAAGAAGTTGCACTGCCATCCCGAAGGCGCAGGGTTCAAATCCACCAGCTGGATGGTCATTTTCTCTATGTCATTAACTTCCTCTGAAAACTCTCTGGAGGGTCAGCTGTGGGTTGAAATTGGGCTTTTTGTGCCTACAGAAGGACTTTCCGGTAGATTCCCTTAATTTTTGTCTTCTGACTTTAACCCCTAGGTGTTTGGTTTCTTTACTTTTTCTTTATATGATTATTAGGACATTTTCTTCTCATTTTCCATTTTTATCAACAGGTACAGTATTTCTTCTTCTTTTGAAGATAATCATGACAAATTAAAAAAAAATCTTCCTGCTTTGCCTGTTTTCTCCAAATCTTATTTTTCTCTTTATTTTGTATCTGTCTTTAGAATTCTGGATGTCCTTTTTATCCATCTTTTCTAAATATAGGAAGCATTTTATTTTAGATTCCTTGACACTTTTCTGTCCTGTTTTCTTTGTGACAGTCCATTTTCCTGTCAAAAACCTTTTAATATTGCCACAAGTGTGTTAGGTTAGCTCTCCCCCCATCCTTTTTTTCTTTTATTTGACTTTATCGGTCCCTGACTCTTTGTCACCTCCATCATGCTTATTGAGCCCACCCAGTGCATTCTTTATTTTAGGTGATGTTTTAAAATGCCATTTGAGTCTTCAGTAGTTGTCCACTCTGGTGAAATTTCCTAACACAACAATATGTGTTGTTATTATTAATCCATTTTTTACATTACTGAACATAGTTTAATGATGTTGTTGTCGTCATCATGTGCCATCAAGTCACCTGTGACTCACAGTGACGCTAAGTACAACAGCCCTAAACCCTGCTCTGTCTTGTACCCATCTCTGACACACCCACCTCACTAGTTTAATAGCTGTTTTAAAACTCTTGACTGGTAATTATATCATCTCAAGATTGGCATTTGATAATTGCCTTTTTATCCCCCTGACAGTGGAAACCAGAATGTTCTGTTTCTTTATGTGCTACACAGTTTTGTTGGGGTTTCCATTAGCATTTTGAACATTATGTCGTAGAGATTCAGAATAGTGTCATACTGCTCTGAAGATTTCTTTTTATTTGCAGGCAGTTGACTAAGGTAGACTTGAACACTAACTGCCAGTATGATGAGCAGATCCAGTCTCAGTTCAGACATTCTTTGGTTTTTTTTTTAGGACATTTCTTTAATCCTCATGGCTGTTACGCATATACACAATAGAAGACGTACCAGTTTAACAATTTCTACATGTACAGTGCATGTATATTGATTACATCCTTAGCCAGCCACTCTTAGCTACCTTTTCTAAATTTTTATTTTCTCATCAGCAAACACTCACTGTCCCCTAAATTCGCTTTCTAATTTTTCAAGTTGTTGCTTCCAGTTTTTATCCATGATACATGCATTGATCATTTCGGGGTTTTTTGTTTGGGGGTTTGCGGGTTTGTGTGTGTGTGTGTGTGTGTGTGAGAGAGAGAGAGGGGGGAGGTGTGTGTGTACATCATCAAATCAGATCTGACTGGTACAGAAGGAGATTGCCCCTCCTTCTCCAACAGAGCATCTGGTGGATTCGAACCGCATGCCTCTGGGATTGCAGTGCAGCTTCTTGCCACTAGGCCACCAGAGCTTCCTTGAGCGTTTCTTATGGTTGGCATGTGAAGGTTAGAAATAGAGAAGAAATAGTAGTTTGAATATATGGTGTTGGTGAGAGAAATGAGGCCACAGCATATCATTAGTCAGAACAAGGCCAGGGCCAACTGTGAAAGACATCATCAGTTGCTCTTATGCAAGTTGAAACTGAAGAATATACAGGTCCGAACCACATCGTGGTCACTTGAGTATATTCCACCTGAATTTAGATACTGTCTCCAGGATAGACATGATGCATTGAACATTAATGACCAAAAACCAGACAAGTTGTGGGATGCCAAAAAAAGTGTCATTCATATGTAAAGCAAGAAGTCACTAAATAGACATGAAAGAAAAGA